ATTTCCTCTTTCCCCGTATGACAACAGTGAGTGCAGCGCCCTCTGCTGTTGGACTAGAGCTACTGTTGTTCTAAATCTAGTGTTTCCTCTAGTCAGATGTTTGGCCCAAATTACGTACAAACCTTTATTGAGGCTTTGAGGTTTATAGAGAAGAAATAAAGTTAAATAAAAAATGGCACGCACTTGAACACTAAAAGAAGTTTGTTTTTTTCCCCCCAACATTTATTCATGTGTTTCTGCTTCCTTTAATAACAACATTTTGAGCACTTTTTCATTCAAAAGATAAAATATTTAGTTGTAAATGTTGTCTTTAATGTCTTAATTTTCCATATGTTGATACCCACAGATACTCGCAGACCTACAGCCTTTCTGACCAGAACAGCTCCATGATTCTAAAAACACCTTGAGCAGCACCAGTGGAGAGTTTATTTGCTCTTAGGGCAGGGGTCACCAACCTTTTTCCTCTGATGAGCTCCTTTACAAAACAAAAATGCCAGAGAGCTACTCCTTTTAGCAGCCGCAAAAATAGAGACAATTTAAGAAAGAGGGCGAGCTTTTGGGTACAGTTAGACGCCTATGAAACATAAACCACTGTGTATTTATCAGTGCAAAAAGTTGTTCTTCAGAATTATACATTAAATAGTAATAGGCATGTAATTAACAACTTTTTTGTTATTAACAAAAACTAAGTCACTGAAAGTGAGTGTTTCAGGTTAAGACATCAGTGAATTTCTTTATGAACCTGAGGACTGCACACTTCATGTTGAGGATGAAGGCTGCGTAGCCAGGACCCCTGCTCTCCCAGACCTCCCTCCAGGCACTGCTGGCACGGACACCAGATCCCACCAGCTGCTCTTCCTCCTGCTGGAGTGGGCATGGGTGCTGTTTGTGCCTCACGCTGGAGAAGAGAGGTGATCTCCTGGAAGTCAAAGGTAGAGCGTAGGAAGGACTGAAGGCTGTCGTTGCTATACCGCTCAGCCATCACCGCTCCTGCAGTCTCCTCTATCTGCTGACTCTGGATGAGGTACAAGGTGTAGCCCACATCCCCTCGTATTTCCCAAACTGGAGGATGTACTCCCCCAGCACCTCAGATGGGTCAGAGGCATCTCCTCCTGTCACAGACTCTTCCTTCACAGGAGCACTGTGGTCCCTCAGGGACAGATCGTCCTCGATCCTCTTGGCCTCCTCAGAAGTGTCCTGCCACAGGAAATAATTAACATAAACAATGTTCTTAATTTCCTCTAGAACGACAGACAAATGTGTTTAGAAACATTACATTTAGACCCCTCAGTTGAATTCATACTACATGTACATCGATCACTACTTTAGTATTAATTTCAATGTCACTGTATTATTTTTAATGTGTACTTATAAGGCCAAGCTTTTAGCATTGGTATGGATACACATCTGCAGACAGAATTTTTAAATGACTAAAACATATTAGGTCTCTTTTAACAAAACTCACAGAATATCAAATGTGAGTAGTTCATTACATTTTAAGATACAACAAAAAGTACTACAGGACTAAATAATGACGTATGAGTGAAATAGGATCAGCTAGCTATTCAAAGAAGAATGAATATGTGACAAAAACATGAAGACAATTGTTGTAACGCTGCATATCAACTTTTAACGCAAATGTGCAAGTCCGTTATCCATTTTTTCATTTTGGTTTTGGAGACAAATAATGAAGAAAACTTTTTTTTTTTCATTTTCTTATTTTTGGTTTTATATTGAAAAACGAATGAACGAATGACACACGGATTCAACCAGACGACCAGTGGTGGTTTCTCTTAATTTAACTTCATATCATCACATCCCAGTGTGACCCCAGAGCACAGCTTAGTCCAGGACACAAACACATTCAGATATGATTAGAGTTCATTAGTCATTATGGGACTGGGTTTCACTCGCCCATGAAATCATCCACAGACAAAACAAACATCACGCTTTATGGCACAAGTCCAGAACAGGCTTAAGGCAAAACACCCGGAGGGAAAACTCAATACAATGAGATATTTACTGGAGAACAGCTGTGTAAGGGGATATATGCTGGCAGAATACTGAAAGGATGATAATACTGTGAATGTGGTTTTGAGGTTATGTCAAATTTGAATGTATGGAAACGCTGTAAAAACATGTGTTGTAAACCTCCACATAAGAGTATAAAAACATCAAAATGGGGACTAAACCTGGACAAAATTTGAAACTATATCTGGACTCAATCAACACTTAACCAGGACTAGAACATGATGAAACCAAGTCCACAAAAGGACTAAAATGGGCTTAATTCAGGACCAAATAACGGTAAGTGTGAACATGTTTTTGGTGATGTCATACGCCAGAAAGAGCCAGATTTCCCGATGGATTACATTGTACTTCGACATGAAATATCTAAAATGTAAATTCACAAACATTTAACCTGATGATTTACATTATTGACTAGAACTGTCAACTTCTTGTATTCCAAAAAAAAAGAAAAAAAGGCTGAATTACAAAAAACAACCAACAAAACAAACAAACAAACAAACAAAAACATTAACAATCGATAGTTTGCGGCGACATCAGACTGGGGGTGTTCTACATGTATCTCCAAGTAATTCATGACACAATGTACATTAGTAAACACTGTCAAAAAAAAAAAAAAGTTTTCAAATAGCCTGAAACTCAATAATAAATTATAAAATGTATTTAACTATGAATTTTGAGAATGCAAAGTATCAATATTGATTTTGCTGTTCTCCATCTGTATTATATATAACCAGTGTTGGGGAGTAACAGATTACATGTACTGGAGTTATGTAATCAGAGTACAAATTATGAGTAACTGTATTCAGTTACAGTTACTGTTTCAGTGAGTGGTGATTGGATTACAGTTACTTTGTTGAAATAAATGGATTACACGGCGGTATTTATCTGTTTTCACATTTGGGGCTATATCCTAATTTTTTTTGTTTTGTTTTGTTTTTGTTTTTTTCTCAGTAACTCCACTCATTGCCGGACACTAAACCAGGACTAAACCAGGACTAAACCAGGTCTAAACCAGGACTAAACCAGGACTAAACCAGGTCTAAACCAGGACTAAACCAGACTAAACCAGGACTAAACCAGGTCTAAACCAGGACTAAACCAGGACTAAACCAGGTCTAAACCAGGTCTAAACCAGGACTAAACCAGGTCTAAACCAGGACTAAACCAGGACTAAACCAGGTCTAAACCAGGTCTAAACCAGGACTAAACCAGGTCTAAACCAGGATTTAACAGGATCATGCTGAGTGGACCGTGTCTCCTCGTCTTCTGTCAATAATATTTTTAATTTGGTTCAGTAAAAGTCTGGGCTTTTCATTTTCTTTTATCAGACAAAACATCTTATGTTACGATATCCTCGTCTTTGTTTCTCTACAGCAAATCAAGTAATCCAAAGTATTCAGATTACGTTACTCACTTTAAGTAATTTAATGGATTCCGTTACAAACTACATTTTGGGGTATGTAATCTGTAATCTGTAGGGGATTACATTTTAAAACTAACCTTCCCAACACTGTATATTACTTGTAATGTCGTCCAAAACCCAGGAATACAATTAGACTTTTCTTTGCGACACCTTTCTGTTCGCACAATATAGTCTGAGCATCATCAAGATTCATTTTCGTCAATATCATCCATCCCAAAATTGTACTTTTTAACCAGCCCCTCACTATACTGTGTTTGTTACATAATTTAAAAGACAGTGGATGTTTCAGCTAATGACGGGTTTGTCGTTACATAATTATCCTTCTCACACAGAGAGCCCAGTGTTGGTGCAGTTGTCTGGGATTAGACTCTGCCCCTCACACTGTGGAGATGATCAGGGCGCATCTTAGAGAACAGATCCTCCACCAGCCTGAAGGTGGTGCCGTCTTCCTGCTCCTTGCAAACGCCACTTACCACCAGCTGAAAGGAAAGGTCAAGAGGTACAACGTGTAGGTACAAATAAGGAATAAAACTACCTCTACTACTCTCGCCTCACAAGATTGATGGTCCAATCCCCAGCCAAGGTGCGGAGTTCGCATGTTCTCCCTGTGGTCACCCTTGGGCACACACACTGGTATCCTCTAAGGCAGGGGTGTCAAACATACGGCCCAGGGGCTAGAACCGGCCCTCCAAGACCTTTAATCTGGCCCTTGGGTGATTTTCTACTAAAATATTTTAATTATATTTTCTATTAACATATTGGTGATTTTCTGCGCCACTTAGCATAGCAGTGTCTCCAGTGCCTCTGTGCGTGGCCCCTCCCACCAGAGCAGCACAAATGAAGACTTGTCTCTTTCCAAACACTGTTAAAGGACGATCGTTTTGACTGTTGACCGTGACACCCTCATCAGCAAAATGTCAAAAATGAGAAAAGTGGAGCCAAGTGCAGGATTTTCCAAGAAAAATTGACTTATTCCTATTTACATACAAGTTAATGTTAAAAACATGGTGTTGAAATTGCATTTTTCTTAAAGTTTCAGGTTGATCATGATAATATTTTGTAAAAGAAAGAGTTCATCAATTAAAAAAGATTTGTGTAATAGATTTGCGTTTCTTTGCACAAATATTTGAACTTATGGCATATACACCCCAAAAATAGCAATGATTTTTCTGAGCCGACCCCTTTGGGATAAAAGTAGGTTGGATACGGCCCCCGGACCAAAATGAGTCTGACACCCCTGCCCTAAAGGTCCTACTGACAAAGATCTGGAGATGAGTTAAACATAAAAAGGTAAAAACAAACTTACTGTGTTTAAGTAGAATGTTACATTTTGCACCATAAACCTGAGCTGGATTTTAAGATCTTAAAATCCAGCTCATCGGGGTACTGCTTTTTACTTTTACCAAACATTTTGAAGTAACAATTCACCCCATGTTCAATTCAGAGATGAGCAAACACCTTTAGAGAACACCACCCTCTAGTGTTGGACAGGTCCATTACAGACAAACTACACATCTTAAGCGTGACAAAGCATAGGAGACAGGAGTAAGAATACAAACATTTTATTTTCATAAATACAATAAAAAATACAATATAAACAATATACACACAGTAATCATCAATATTAACAGCATGAGAAATAGTCAACATGAGTGTCCGGTGTTTGCGTTTAGAGAAAAGGGTCAAATCTTTTCAACATCAAACCAAGGAGAGGGTCCTCGGTCACCAAAGGAGCAGACAGTTATGTCACTTTACATTAAGATCATTATAACAAGTAAACTACTCCACTGACAGTCCAAAAAGCAACGTTTCAGACCATTTTCACACAAGAATCACAACTTAAGCAGGCGAGGTGAGTAGTTTGTGAGTTTGGTATCAATAACATGCATTTCTAAGTGTCAAAACCTGTTAGTGTGTCTGTTCAGGAAGTAGTTACAATGAGCTCTACTTTGGATCCTTCAAGAACCAGTAACTCAGCCCTCCACGTCTTCTGTCACCGCTTCATAGGAACTATAGTGTTACGCAGTTTGAACCATCAGCAGCCGTGAGCCAGGCAAAAATTAATCCTAGTGAGATATTCATGTTCATTTTGACCTGGTATTATTCTCTAGGGTTTAGTGCACAAGTTAACCCAAGTCACTAAAAATCTTTTCAAAACTTAAGATCAAGTCACAAAGGTAAAAATGATCACTTAGCGATTATTAAACTACATACATCTAATGGCAATTTTAATAACTTAAAATGGGCTTAAATAATGTGTAAAAGTTGATTACTGACACTTAGGAATACTTACAGTTGAAATCTTTATACACGTTGGTGCAGGTGGGGTGAGACAATTTCCATAAAAATGATACACAAGATTGGGTCAACGAGAGTGAGACAAGACAAGATTGTGAATAAACGATCCACCGGTTTTAATTTACTTAACATTTTTTGCACCATTGTTTTACTACAGCGTCAAGAAATGCACCTTGTCTCACTCCTTTTTTACCCAATCCAAAAGAGAACGCGTGGAAAATCTAGAGATAAAGATCATTTTAAACATCTTGTGGCGATTTTGTCTCACGAGATCTTGTCCCATCCTTATAAAAAGTTGGTGTAAACATTTAAATAAGTCCCTTGCAATGGGCGAGTGAAGCTTAAATATGTAAACAGTCTTTCTGGTTCAGGGGCTGGTCGCTTAAGCCTTAACGTCCGCTGGTCTTACGCTTGTTTGTGGTGGAGGCTGTGCCCGTTGGAAAGCCCGTTTGAGTGCCCGTTGACCTCTGCGCTGGTGGTCCCGCTCATGACTCCGTTGGTGTGGTGAGCCCATGTCTGAGCCTGCAGCACCTTGGGCAGCCTCTTGCCTTTGGTGTAGGCGTGGTAGTAGAAGTTGAGGAAGAGGAACAGGAAAATCATGCCGTACAAGCCGATGATGTAGATAAAGATGGGGAACTGGTATGGGCAGTCCTTCATGACAAAATACTGACTGATGTGGGTGGTGACCGTCACAAACTGGATCTGAGGACACAAAAGGAGTTTCATTACAAACAACTGCTTTATGAGACCATTGCAATGTCAGTTTAATACACTTACACATGGTTTCTAATGTGTTTTTTTTACTACAAATGATAAATAAACTTGCCTAACTTGTTCACACTTGTCGTTTCTAGTCAGAACTGTCCATTTGAACATTTTGACTTATTACTTTACATTTTCAAACTAGCCAATTTTGACCAGAAGTATGTCAACAAATGTTAGTGTCAGGATACTAAAACTCCAAACTTTATTTAGAATATATTTTTAAACCACAAACCAGTCTCTGTTCTGATAAAACGATACTAGTTTCAGCAGAGATTAGAATCTGATTTCGACAACCCCAGTAGCGTGAATGAATGAATAAATAAACCAGTGCCATGCTGCAGCGTACACGTGCCGACAATTTGGCTCCGAGTCGTTAATTAGATTTAACACGTGACAATCACAACTGGCATGAACTTGAACGGTTTAATAGTCGACGTACCAGCTGGATGGTGGTGAGGTGCTTCTTCCACCACAGGTATTTCTGGTATCGTGGGCCCATGGCACTCAGCCCGTAGTACGTGTACATGATCACATGGACCACGCAGTTGAGGAGAGCGTGGAATGTCCCGAGACCACCTGAAAAACAAAAAATATTTATTAGAATACACTAGGGAAATATTAAAGTATCGGATCTATAAGTAAAGTGAAAAAACCAGGACAGTACTAGTACACATGTCAACAATGTAAACAACGACTTGTCCTTAAGTGTACTATGCAACTTTTCTGGTCGAGGGTGTGCCACTGTCTGGACATTTTATTGGCTTGTCTAGAAATTTTCCACTGTATGGCACTGAAATCATGCAGCATTTATTCACTTTGTGGCTAATACCTTGGAAATGCATATTATTCATACTGTGAGTCCTTCTAGAACTTCAATTTCTCGACTTTATGTAGATGTAAAAGTTTGATGCCATACTGTGAAAACTACTAAAAATGCAATAACATCTCCAAAGAGACAAGCAGGTGATCTACCAGAAAAGTTACACATTTTTCAATAATAAAACAAATGCTGTACCTGGAGCAAAGCGGACGCCGAACCACCAGGTGAAGGGCATGATGGAGTGATGGTAAACGTGGAGAAACGTGACCTGACTGTTTTTCTTCCTCAGCACAAAGAAGATCTGAAAGGGGATTAAAAGTCAGTACAGTGTAGCTTATATGAAGTCAAAAACGCACAGGGTTGTCAACTAAACACTGGCCTCATGCTAAAATACTACTGAAACTAGATACTTATTTGAGCAAATTTCCGTCACAAGAAACTTTAACCCATCTTGAATAATTTTAGAAAAGGCTTCTTGGTCATTAAGACGACATTGTTTCTAAATACCAGGATGTGATTTCAGCAAAGTTTCTTAGAAAAGGAAATGGCTCAGTAGTTGATCCTGCTTTAGATGACTAAATACTAAGTATACAAAAGAGTTCCACATTTTAGTATCATGATAAAACCATTTACTAGAAAGAGACTGTATGAGCTACTACTCACCGTGTCCAGCATTTCAATAAATTTTGAGAAATAGTAGAGCCAGCATGTTGCCGCCATCTATTGGAAAAAGGAGAAAAGTTAGTTCCATCACATTCCTTTTTAAAAAAATTATTATTATTTTTCTAATTATTATTTTAATTTGTATTATTATTTTTATTTATTTATTATTTTTATTATTATTTGTTTATTTTTGTTATTTTTTTGTTTTATTTTAATTATTTGTTTTATTATTATTGGCATAAGTTTTTATTTTTATTACTTTTATGAACCTACCCTCAAAGCTTGTGGCGAGTCCGAGTAGTCAACCAAATCGCAGCGAAAAGAGTATCCCGTTCCCCATCCGGACATAACAAACTGAAAAAATATGAAAAATATTCATGTTAAAACAACAAAATTAAGCCTTCACTATGATGAAAAGAGCCAGAGGAAGCCCAAATATGGCATAAGGAAGTGTCCATGGCTATTGTAGGCACACTTGGCATATATTCAAAACCTGTCAAGCATAACTGATGACTGGCCCATACGTTACAGAAGTTATCAGAATATCTACCAGAAAATGCAAATGTGAGGAGTTGGGACAATAGGAAAAAGCTTCATACCTCATAACACATGTACAGAGAAAGTCCGACCACTGCAAAGTTGTACACAATCAAGACATTTTTCAGGTCGAAAGCTTTGCGGTTCTCCATCATCCTTGGACCGAGCGACATGACGAAGTAGATGTACGCCAGGATTATGATGGTTTGAGGAAGAGGAGAGGACATGAGCAGCCAGTCTTCCGTCCGGACATCTGCAAAAAAGAAGAATCAAAAAGGTTCAGTAAATCTCGCTGTAGGATTTAGGATTTTAGCGAACGGAAAACAAAAACTTACCTGCGTTTTGGATGAACCGGTCGTAAGCGAGGGCGACTGTTGACTTCACGTTACTGAACTCCATTTTGGGACCTGCAAAAGCAAAGCGAAAATGTTCTAAGACGTGAAAAGCAAGGAGACTGGCAAGCTAAAAGAGCTATTTGTCCAGTGAACAAGTTGAACAACCAGACGGACCAGACATGAGCAGCATTTTTTCCAAAGCACACAGGATGTATTGTATGTATGCAAGCAAGCAACCTTTAAATTTACCAGTCCAAAAAAAATTAAATTAAAAAGTAGCCTACAATAAAAGCATGAGTTTCACTACATTATGATGGGCTACGGAAATTTAAATGATTTGACATTTTAAAATCAATAAATCACTATACTGAGCCGTTTAGGATTAAAAAAAAGGAGAGTTCAAGTGTCTGAAAAGTCTGTTTGGTCATTAAAGAAAATATTATGGCCCTTCAAAGAGAAAAAAAAACGTGGCAGGTCTTGACAAGTTGCCAATGGATTGGACTCATGATGGAAAACAATGGCACACCTAATCATTTCACCTGTTAAAAGCCAACTCCCAGAGATTAGTGAACCAGCAGAACGGTGGGTGTCAATACGAGATTAGTAAAAACAAAACAAAACCAAAAAAAATGTGTAGCCTGCGTAAAACCAAGACGTAGTGAACGATTTGAATACAGAAAGAAAAAAAAAAAAACCTTGATAGCCTGATAAATGCTTTCACGTACATTACTTAATCGTGAACTGAACGAGAACGAGCCAAATATATCGTAAAACAACAACTATAACGTTACTGCTAGCTACAGAAACTTGTCATCGCAGCACTTTTCGACCACTTTTTTTTAAGAATCTCCTCGCGTTTTATCAACTTTTAAACAACCATGAAGCGTACAAACCTTTATCTGTGTCCTTCGCTTCCAAAGTGACGAATAAAAACAGTATTTCTCCAAGTAAAATCCGATGTACCACACACGAAGTCCCAGGTACGAATCACCTGCGCCTCCGCTTCAGGTGCGCTCTCGTCACTGCGCGTTTGGGCCGAGCGGCGTCCGCGCGCGTCTTATGGCGCCGGGGGTGGGCGGGGACCGGAGCGAGAAGAGGCCTCTGATTGGTCAATACGAGTACCGGAAAAGTGCGTAAAAAAAGGGCATTCTTACGTGATGCCTCACCTCTGAAAAAAATGAAGACGAAACCCACAGTTTAGGTACAAAAGATTTCATAATCGTCGAATTATAATTTATTTATTTATTTTTAATTGGCCTGTTCTGACAAGAGGTGAGGAAAATAACTAAGAATAGACTATCATCACTTGCATTAATTAAAAATAACCAAATTAATTAATCTTATTCATGCAGTTAATAAAATCTGGTGGAAATTGTGGGCCTATAATACTAAACTAAGCTTCTATTACATTGTGACTGATAACCCGAGAGACAAAACTAAAATAATGGCTTTTAAATATTTCCTAACAAGTCATTTTATTTATATAGCACATTTAAAACCGCAAACCATAACAAGTTGCTCCATAGTGAAACAATAAAACAAATATAAAATACACAAAATATTACATGAAAGAGTGGCTTAATACACAAAAGATAAAATCTAAAGTTGACATCTTCAAAGTAAAGGTCATGAGCTGCTGAATGACATCTTGAAAAAAATGTGTTTTTAGGAGGGTTTTTAAAAGAGATAAGGAGGAGCGTGACCTCAGATAACAGATAACAGAGAAAGCTCGTCCTCCCCTGGTTTTGAGGCGGGACGGTGGGACGGACAGTAGGTTGAGAGAGTTTGACCTGAGAGACCGAGGGGCAGTGTGTGGGGTTAAAGGATCAGTGATGTACCGTGATGCAAGTGTGTTCAGTGATTTAAAAACAAATAATACAGTTTTAAAATCAGGTAAACAGTGGAGTTGGGCAAGGATTGGTGTAATATGGTCTCTATTTTTGGGACCGGTGAGCAGTCTGGCAGCAGCAATATGAAATAGTAATTAGGGGTGTGCAAAAATATCAAAATATCAATATATCGTATCGTTTAATGTGATGATACAGTATTGAATATCGTGGGCTACTGTATTGCTATATCAGCAAGAGTATTTTTACGTGTGTTTTACTAAATTATTTTGTTACAGTGCTACAGTTTTGTTACTTGTTTAGAGGAAGGAAAACTCCTTTAATCAACACATTTGACATTTTCACTGTTTTGAGGATTAAAATGTTTGTGTTTCATATGAACTTTGCACAAGAACTGGTTTAACAAAGACTTTAGTATCACAGCCATGATTTAGACTTTATTTTTTATTGAACCGTATCGAATCGATTTGAAATATATCATATCAAATTGAAAGTGCACTGCATCGAGATATGTATCGTATCGTATCGGCAACTTCTTAATGATACCCAGCCCTAATAGTAATAGGCTTATGTAGGCTAAAGGTATAAGTGAGAAGAAACACAATGAAATTTTGAATGTTTGAAACGTTTTGGCGTTAAAATTATATTTTGTTTGCATAATATGTAATTTATTTTTGCCATATGTAAATATTTGTTAAGTTCAGTGATCAATGTACAGAAGCAACTGCATAAATTTTGACACTACGTCACAAATAGGGGTGGGTTCATATAAGTTTTTCTTCTTCCCGCTCCTTTTTGAGAAATGTGCTTTTCTGTTGTTTACAATGTATATGTTGTATAAATGATTATTGTTTCTCTCTTGGCACAAATTCGAAATAAAAAACAATCAATCAATCAAATTTTCTCATTTATAAGTGAAAGAGACCTAGGCTCTGTAGTGGAGAGTTATCAAAAATGTGACTCAAATTTGTAGTGTATGTTTAAAATAATATTAAAGAAGGAAAATAAAATATATGCTGTGATTAAACTACTCTTAGTGATCGAGAAAATGTAACTGACTGCTTCCCAGTGTATCCTCTAGGTCAAACTATTTATTATTGTGCTTTCTCAAAAAGAACATGAATACAGAAATGGCAGTACAAAAATATAACATCAAAATCCCTGTCATAATTTAACATATATTCTAATACAAGTGTGCAAATGTGTGTGTTTCCTAACCGGGGTTTCACTGTCATTTGCTGCTGGTTTCACAGACGCTGTCAGCTTGAAAACAAATGCAAATTGTCCTGGGACTGTCACAGAGCCTCCCATGTGGACATTAAGCATAGTTACTCTCTCCCACCGCTGAAACACACCTCCTCTCAGTTTAGCTTTAAGTTTATTTCTGTTTTAATTGATATTTAATTTGTTTTCTGTTTGCGCTTTGTTACCAGTAATGTGTTAAATCATATTCCCTCAGGATAAATAAAGTTAAAGTGCACTATGAAACCAATCTCTACCTATCTAAAAAAAAAAGTGACGCCCCTTTCAAAGTAAGAATTTATGTTTTTAAAGGTGTTTTGGGCAAAATAAATCACCTGCACTGAATGAAAGCAACAGGCAAAGTGATAACAGCTCCATGGAGAATAAGGCAGCATGCAGAATCCAGGAGAAAAGTCACATAGTGCACTCAAGACTCAATACAACACTTTCTGTGCAAATTTCAAAGTTTACTTCAAATAAAACGAGCAGAAAAAATTCATGATCAAATGTACATAAAAACAAAACAAAAAAATATTTACATAAGGCGGTTAAAGCATCACCCGCTTTAAATCAACCATGATCTCTGACGACGTCCCTTTGTGTTTCCTCTTGACAGTCTTTAGTGAATCACGCTGCGTTCATATTTCAAAGGGACTAGACCAGGACCAAACCGAGTCTATTTAAGGACAAAACCAGTCTTCAGCAATCAGTCTTCATCACTGCTCCATGCGTCCTGAAAAGCAGGATTCAAGGATGTCGCTCCAGCAGGATTCTGTACACAAAATAGAGTATTTTCAGTAAGTAAAAAAGTATTACTGTTTATCAAGACCCTAGTTATGTAAAATATTTGACATTTGGCACATAAAAAAGCCCGTACGCACTGGAATTCTTGTGCAAGGCTCTCAGGGGTTTGATTTAAACAGTATTTACAAAATGCTGCTACACTTGATACCATCTGCAGAGTGTCAAAATCAGGCCAGTCATGATAAAAAATTGAAATGTGATATATTGCTGAAGTAAATAAACTAGTAGAGGTTAAACGATACTATTGAAACCAAATCATAAAGCAGTAATTAGTTTATATCTACTATAACAAGGCATAGAAGTTCATATTTCAAACTTCTACAGCTCAAATCTTATCTTAATGCAAAAAAAATGACCAAACATTTCCTGTTAGTATCAATTATCATAGCAAGCTTAGTCAAAATATGACATATGAAAGTCCTCTGTTTAGTCTTCATTGTCTCCCAGAATTCTTCAAGGTTTTCAAGTTAAAAGAAAACTCATACATCATCATAACCTCAATAATAAGACTTCAAGATTAATTGTAGTTCAGTTAAAATCGCAATTTGAATGGACACAATAAGCAGATCAGCAAATTTTATTCCTCAACAAACATTAAAATCTCCTGTTTTATTCTGCATAAAAAAAGACCCTGTAGTTTAGATCTGTTGCGATGATGATGTTCTGATTCTTGTTTTAGTTTGTCACTTCATATTTCAGTCCTTGGGTCAATTCAAGAAACAATTTGGAAAGAAAAGCTGAAAAAATATGTTGAAAATGACCAGAAGTAGAGAACTCTAACTCACATTTGGGAGAATTCTGTCCCAAAGTTTATTTACGTGTAAGAAATCCGGTAAGAAATGTAATCATGTAACACTTTTTGTGAAACTTAAAACATTATTTCAACTAAATAAAAGTGTTTTCTTATATTTATATTTGTAAGATAATCACTTCTGTGTACATTAAGGGAGTTTTGATAGGTACGTTTTGGAATTCCCTAGTGTGACGTTATGATTTCAAACAGGAAATAAAACTGTAAGCCTTAAATAATTGCCAAATTAGGATAACGGGTGTGAATGCTTATGCAAACATCGTAATGATCTTAGCTGTGTTTTAGTAAAATGAGTAGTCTAACCCGTAGTTTAACTTGCTTTACAGTGATTTTAATGTACACACTTCCGGAGCAACTTTAATTTGCCTAAAACTATGTGACCAGGCTAGGAGCTTATGTGTAGTCATCACCTGAACGTGTAGCAGGAGTGACGTGGTATTAGTAATAAAATAAGCACTAACAAAATGCAGCTCAGCATGTTTAATTTAAGTGCCAGAGTGTTCCTGGGTTTGTATGTGAAACTTCTATGGGACATTTAACACGGACATGCTATGATCTGAATACCACTCATGTGACAAGTCTTATCTCTGATGGTGTTTCTGACTTTGGCCAAATGAAGTTTTGTGTTTAAAAGTGTCTTATTTAGAGGTGCGTCGTGCAATTTTTCTGCTGGAGGGTTCCGTTAAATACTTTTTTTTTCCACGGAGATGTTACTGCTTTGACTAATGTTTCACAGTATGGCATTAAACCTTTCAGTCTTCATGGAGACCAAACCAGACTGAGTTACAGGTCAGATCTGTGGAGGTGGAGAGGGGACCCTGCTCACAGTAAGAATGCCTGTTTTACTAGGTATTTTTGAGCGATTAAACCACGTTATTTAATAAATAACTAATAATTTCATAAATGTAAACCTTAAGGATGTGGAAAAGTATTGAAATATCGACATATCATATCGTTTAATGTGATGATACAGTATCGATATCGTGGGTTACTGTCTCGATATATCGCCAAGAGTATTTTTTGGTGTATTTTACTAAATTATGTTGTTACAGCTACAGTTTTGTTGCTTGTTTAGAGGAAGAAAACTCATTTATGCAACACATTTGACATTTTCACTGTTTTGATGATTAAAATGGGTGTGTTTCATATGAACTTTGCACAAGAAGTGATTTAACAAAGACTTTTAGTATCACAACCATGATTTAGCTTTTTTTTTTATTGAACCATATTGAACCGATTTGAAATATATCGTATCGAACTGTAAGCTCACTGTATCGAGATATGTATCGTATCGTGGCCCGTGTATCGAGATATGTATCGTATCGTGGCCCGTGTATCGAGGTATGTATCGTATCGCCAACTTCCAAATAATACCCAGCCTTAGTAAACGTTCCACACAGAGCAATAACATCTCCATGGAGACAAGCAGATGGCCGACCTCCACCAGAAAAGCTGCACAGTGCACCTTTATATAAAAACAGCAACAAGCACATTTTAATATCAAAAAGGGATTAAGTCCAGTTTTTGATGTAAAAGGTATTTTGGCTTATGCTGGTATATGTCTTTATAGTAAAGTTTACAGTCAAGATCGATTTTTTTTAACAGTCGACTAGTCACGATTATTCCGATTAATCGTTACAGCCCGAGTTGTCGGTTGTTTGAACTCTCACTTGCCTTTTTTGCACTTTCGGCCTCTTCTTCCTCATCTGGGGGCCGCAGAACAGGAACCCAGGCCAGAATGTTACAGTCTTTACCTCCGCTGTACAACTCCTGCAAAACACAAGACACGATTGCTAACTGACATCCGACAGATTCCGATCCGAACAGACATGACGTTGTTCACTGGAGTGACATAAGCCGTAGAAAAGCTACGGTTAAAGAAAGAACTATTGTGTTTGTGTCAGCTGTATAGTTATAATCTCTGACACCCGTGGATCGTTCTGTTATACTTTGAACATTTTAAATCCCAATATCCGTCTAAAATGAGTTAATACAAGAAACAAGTCCTGACCTACGTGTTAGTAAACAGTGATGCCCAATGGGAGCTGACGTCGTCGTAAACGTCATCAACAAAGAGTCGCAAAATTGCATCTCCAGGGAAAAGCTGCAGCTCACACAAGCAAGCAGAGTTTTTTTTTTTTCAATCATTCATACTGAAATGACAATGCGACCGTGAAAATAAAGCTGGAGAACGAAGTAAGCAGAAAGCAGTGGGTGTCTCGAAAGCATGAATCACTCCAAATACAACTTCGAGTACACGGTGAGGTGAAACTACATCAGCGTGGTTAAAAGTTCTGAAAAGTTTATTTTGCGTAACAGGTCTGCTTAAACTACAAGAGCAATTAAACTATTCTAAATGATCAGCGGAAATCACGACCCACGGGACCCGTCTGTGCACAGGGACAGGAACATGACATCATACTGAGGTTGCATGAGAAAGAAAATACGTGACAGACACCTATAACCATGTCCCCTTGACGAGCTGCTCAACTGCATTCTGGAGTGTATAGAAAGCCGACAAGGGACACTTCTGAAACTGGTATGTTCTTCGAGCCTTTTAGAGCTGACTTTGAGTGTGTTGCTGGGTACCGTAGTTTGTTTTCATGTTAAAATTGTATGCTGTGGTTTTGAAATATAAAAATGTGACTAGGACTTCAACACAAAATAAGATAAAGGATTTAAAGAGCTGACTTGGCTTGATTTCCCATATTGACAATATTTAAAGATACAGAACAACATTTCCATGAAAACAAGAAACAACAGGAAGATGATCTCCTCCAGCCCAAATGAGAGTCAGGTTTGTGGAGATGCAAGCCTGCTCACAGTAGGGACATAAGATGATTTTTTATTGAAATAAAAACAACCTAAAGAAAACAAATTGAAGATGCTTTTCAATTTTTTTCACTAAAAAGTTTATGCTTGCCTGCAATGATTTTCAAGTTTTATTTCAAATACCATGCTGATATTTTTATGTCTAAGCAAAAAGTACAAATAATACAAATTTAAAATACTTTTATATAGATTTTGTTTTGTATTGCATGTAACGATAAAGCGCTTTGTGTTATATTCTATTGTATTGTATGAAAAGAGCTGTATAAATAGTTTAATTGATGGATTGATGATATGTGCTCTACGAAACAGGGAGTGTCTTGACCTTAACTGTGGAGAATATGGAATGGGAAATTTGAATTGTCAAGTTAAATGAGACAAGTCAATTAAATTAAGACTATAGGAGACATTTCAAAGCTTTGTTTGACAGGACAACTATTTAAAAAATATATATGTTTAAACTCTTTCACTGGAATCGTTTGGATCAGGGTTCTCCAGTCTTTTTCTTCTCATTTTAATGGTCACAAGATATCGAGTATAGGAAAGCTTTAGATGGGCAACAGTTAGATACTTACAAAACATAAACCTTTGTCCATTTATTAGTGCACAAAGTTTAGGGTGACCAGATTTTCAAAACAAACTGGACCATCCCCTTTCTTCTGGTGGTTGGTAATAATAAAATTGTGCAACGAGTGCACAACTAAGGAAAATTGTTCTGCGGAGACATTCATGACGAACATATGAGTCGGTATAGTCACATTTTCTTTGTGTTTTGGTCATTTTTAAGCAGCTTTTCTGTATTTTACCTAAACAAATGACAATTTATGTCTCCCTTTAATGTTGGCAGGGATCAAATTGGTCAAAAATTGGGACACGTGGGACATTTCTTGTATAAAACTGGGACAAATCACTCTTTTTGGATAAATCTGCTGGGACAGGGGATAGGGGTCAAAACTGGGACTGTCCTGGGTAAATAGGGATGCTTGGTCACCCTACAGACGTTAGGCATCAAAATGATACATTTACAGTCGTAGTTCATCAAATCTGAGCCATTCAACACAATAAGTATACTTCAGAAATCCTTTGGTGAGCTGCTTGGAAGGGGCTGGAAAGCTACTGGTGATTTGGATAATTTCAGCCCTGGAATTGTTAAGGTAAATAAATGTACAACATAGCTTGAAAACTTCATGATATCACAAGGTGGGACAAGGTATTTTGAGCTTTGGAGATGCAGATAGACTAAAAATTAAGGATTACTCGAACATGTGAGAATGAAACAAAACACAACTCCAGGTATATTTTTGATTGAAGTGACAGGATTATAACATCGATTAAAGTTCAGAAGAGTCCATTTTAATATACGACCTTTACATTCAATTTAAACAAATTATAAGTTTGCCTACAGCCAAACCCCATTCAGTTGCAGTTCTGTTAGAGTGGCTGTATATTTCCAAGCATAACTTTAAATAACTTCTAGTACTAAGATAACACGGGTGAGTGAGTAGGGAGTACGTTCTGCAAACTTGAACTCCTCTGCACACTTTTTTGCATACAGCCCTTTTAAACACCGCACATAATAACACAAAGGTCATTAGCAAAAACACATTAGCAAAATACTGATGCTGACACGCCCTACATATTTGCGTTTAGAATAGATGGAGCTTTTGGTAGTGTTGACTTTAGTGCTTATCTTTACAGGGGCTGGACTGATATCGCCATGGTGATCGGGAAATGTGAAGCTGTAAATTAATTTCGAGCTGAAAGGGCATTGTAAAAGTGCATGTGCAGGACTACAGGTCGGACACACAGATGGGCAAAGGCAAATAAGAAGTGCAGCAATGATCGGTCCAGTGAACTGTGCAAAGATGAGCCCCTAGTAACAGCACAAAACTAAAATTTCAAATAAGGAAAAGCTTCATACTTGATACAGATTTGATTACCACAATAATAAGAGTAATTTTTTTTAGAAAATAGAATGTAAAAAATATTTAATAGTGACTTTAAAAGTGCATTATCTAACTTTTCTAGTGGGAGTTCTGAAACATTGTTGATTTCCTAATAAAATTGACCAGAATACCTCGAGAAACATTATGAGTGGAGTGATCTCTCCATAGATCTGACCTGTAACTTAGCCTGGCAGCATCTTCAGCTTTTCTCTGTAGAGATAAATTCAATGCCAACACTCCAGGCAAAGTAATAACATCGCAAGTTACATATTGCATCTTTAATTTTACCATGTGGTATTATACTAGTTTTCATTTAAAAAATCATTAAGTCTTCCTATGATCTCTTGTATAAAGCTGTGATTTTATATTTTATTACTTATGCTTCTATTTTATTTTGACTTGTACATTTACATTTATATAATTATGTCTTTTTATTTACACTTGTCTCTTTCTTTTTTGCTACTTATTTAGAATTTACGGAGCCTCCACCTAAAATCTCAACTATATTTTAGCTCTTTGTTATTACATTATATTGTGATGTGTGAGCTACTGTGTCCGAATAATTTCCCATGTGGATCAATAAAGTTTGTCTAAGTCTAAGGTCCATTTTAAAGCTTTTCAAGAAAAGAGAGATTTTGCAGTATTACTTTTCAGTATTACTTCAAATGTAGTTTTGCTTTGAGTTAGTTTTAGTCTCTAGCTCTAGTAATGGTACTGTAGCTTTAGTATCGATCTGTATTGTCTTTTATTGACCAAGAGCACCTCGCCCCCTCTCTCATTCTTCTCCTCAATTCCCTCACCCATCTCTTCCCCTCTCACTTCTCCTCCCTTTCTTCTCCCTCTCCCCCCTCTTTTTTTCCCCTCTGCCCTCCCCCTCTCACCTGATAGTCTGGGTGAAACTCGCAGCAGTCCACATTGTTGTAGTGTCCTCTGAGCATAGTGACCAGCTCCCCCGTGTGAAGCGCGTACACGGCCACAGAGCTCCCACACGGCACGAACACAAACTCAGGGCTGCAGCCTCGGGACACGCAGAACTGGAGCCGCTTCCGACTTTCATTGCAAACTTTCCCATAATTTACCTGAAAGAGATAATAACATGATTCAGATACGTCGGATTCATGTCAAGCTGATATAAATGTTAAATCTTTTCCACCTTCAAGGCACTCAGAGCGCTTTACATCAAGGAACCGCTCACCCATTCACACACACGTTCATACACCAGTGTACGCGGAGAACGGGCTGAAGTGGGTTAAGTGTCTTCCCAAAGGACACAATGGCAGTATTCATCTGTTAGAGCAGGAATCAGACTGCCAATCTGTGGGGCAGTGGATCTGACTGCTCAACCAATAATGTTTATGTCAAGAGTGGGATTTGAATCAACAACCTTCAGACCAGAGGATGGACACTTTATTAACTGAGCTACTGCTGCCCATACTGTATATTTTAAACTGAACAGAAACTGAAATATATTTACTTATTTGAATTAGGACAGGGCATATTAAAGTCGGACTAAACACCAAAACTGCGCCCACAACCGCATTTCAAATAGAGCTGCTGAACTGGGCAGAACCTGGAGAGAATGAGAGAGGAGGGGCGAGGTCTGGAGGTATAAAAGCAGTGTGATTGGTCTCACAGGTATCCGCACGTCAAACTCCGCCTCTGCTGTGCAATCAGAAATACCTGTTCATAATTAGGGAAGTCTTTTGTGGCCATATCAGCTTGTCAAAGCCTGATCCTGTCAGATCTCAGAAGCTCAGCAAGGCCGGGCCTGATTAGTACTGTGATGGGACGCCGCTGGGAATCGCAAAAACTGTCGTTGTGTCCTTAGGCAGCCTCACTTCGCCCACAGTGCCTAGTATGAAAGTGGTGTGTACGTGAGTGATGATCGGAGGGGGCAGTGGTGCAGACAGGCAACCACACTTCCGCCAGTCAGTCCCCAGGGCAGCTGTGGCTACACGTCTGGGTATGAAGTGAATGAATAATGATCTGTAAAGTGTCTTTCAGTGTCCAGAAAAGCACTATATAAAATGATCATTATTATTAATATTATTATTTTGTGACAGCAGATTTAGATATTTTGAACCAGAAAACTGCCAATTTACAGAGCTTATGCTAAAATTGCCAGAAATGACTAAGAACAGTAGATAATACTAATTAATCACTGTATATAAAGTTCACTAGCAAAAAAAAAAGTGAAAAAACAAAACAAAAAAAACATTAAACCTATTAGACAAGACAGCAGACAAATGACATGACAACACAACACACGTGTGACAGCTTTTTGGTTATTTCATTGCAGTGATGTAATACAGTACATCCTTATGTCATGTCAAAGCTTCTATAATTACGTTTGCACTTCCTAACCAAACCTCTACATACCTTGATTATTAAATTACTATAGTTTATTTTCTTCAATTCTGTATATGTGTACTTTATTTAAAACACACTTCCTGCTATCTTTGCTACTTTAATGATTTAGATTTAAAATGTTGTAATTTTTTTTTTTCCCTTTGTTATTATATTGTGTGATTTATGAGCTATTGTGCCCAAGTTATTTCCTGTGTGACTCAATAAAGCTTGCATCAGTTTAAATCAATCAATGAGACCAGTACAGGTCCTAAAACATGACCTTGAGGTATAGCAGCAGTATATATGCTTTTATTCAACAAGATGTCTTTCACTAAAGCTGAAGTCTGATCTTAAACAGAAAGATGAGTAATATTAATAGCAAATCTAACTTGACTTTACTGTGTAGAATTGAATCTTAAGTTTTCCAGCAACTCCCTTAATTCTCTGATTCCATACTTCTCCATTGTAGTGAAACTAAACTCAGCACCACACATACGAGCATAGTCAAATGAACGTTCACTTTGGTTAGTTCAAGCACGTCCCATCAGCTGCACCTGCACCACAGTGTGAGAACCTTTAGTCTTCTGTGGTCCCGCGATGGAAAAATGTCCGGCATAGCAACCTCATTAGGAGGCAGCAGAGCAGGAAATTGAAACAGGAGCCCTGTGTAACCCTGTGCCAGTGACATAGGTACAGCCTGTGTTTTCACGCACTGCACTGGCGTACACATTGTTGCATTAGCTTTACATTATTAAGTGCCTATTACAGCCACGGTCTGCACTACTTCACACAGTTTGGACTCTACTGGAAATTGCAAACTGGGTTAAAAGTAGATGAGTAAACAGTTTTTTGTTTTGTTTTTTAAAGATGCACTATGTCCTGCATCAAAAAAAATTTAAATATTTTGAAAAACTTAAACTATTTTCTGGTTTGGTTTTCTCCACCTGCTTGTCTCCATGGAGATGCTATTTCTTTGTCTGGAAGGTTCCACAGTATGACATTAAATATATTTGTCTTGCATTTATCTAATTATAGATGCTCAATTCCAAAAGTAGATTGAAAAACAATAAGGGGGCTTGCCAGTTCACAGATCTGACATGTAACTTGACATGGTAGAGACAAGTTTAATGCATGGTGAAACAATCTAGGCAATGCAATAACATCTCTACGTAAACAGGACAAGCAAGAAGTCGCCTCTCCACCAGTAAAGTTACATAGTTCACATTTATTAGTTTATGCGTTTTTGTAAACCCAAAGTTTCAGTTCTATTTTCCGTTTGAATTGTTTTCCATATTTTTTGTATTGAGTTAGCAGCAGAGCTCACCAGCGTGTTCTCCCCTGAAGCGCTGTTCCAGAGTCTCATTCGGTCGTCCGTCCCAGTGGTGAGCAGGTACAGACCGTCTCCAGTGAAGCACAGACCGTTCACTGCCATTATGGGCTGTGTTTGCTGATCAACACAAGATAAAACCGTGTTATTATTATTTTCTATTTGATTTCATTCTCTTAACTGTATTTATTTGAAATGTCAGCCGAGCAAAAAACAATATTTAGAATAGTGTAAGGAGCAGAAAGAACTTATATTACCAACCGCACAATTAATCAAAAAGTTAAACAGTGCACCTTTAACAAGTGCAAATAAAACAGTAGAAGTAGTAGTAATAGTACTGAACAATACATAAAAAGGTGCAGGTAAGACTTTAAAGCACATATCCAACAATGCCAACAAACATGTGACATAATTAATTTAAACACATGGTTTCTTGTGCACAGAGGTTCCTTTAGCACAAACACAAACATAACTATAAACAGGAAAGACCGATACTGTACAGAATGTGACCTCTCCTCCAGTGAGGCAGTCTAAAATATGCGTTAACCTGAATAACCAGACAACGTGTGCAGAGAGAGCACTTAATTGCATTTTACTTTTAAGACCTGCGTGCTTTTACTGCATGCAGAAGGTTTAGCAACACTGAAATCTGCAGTGCATGATGACTGGGCAATGCTGTCAAAAGGACAAAGGATGCATTTAAGGTTATAAGGTTTTCTATTTCACAAAGATGTATATTTTTCCTCTGAACCTAAAATAAAATTGGTTCAAAAGGTGCATTGCGTAACTTTTCCCTCCGAGGTTCCGTCACCTGCTTGTCTCCATGGCGATGTTAGTGCTTTGCCTGGAATGCTCTATGGTACATTTAAACATCTGCCTCTAGCATTTAGTCATTGGGGGTGTTTCTATTTCTAAAAAATGCAATAATTCTCTGTCCTCTCCACTAGGGATGTAACAATAATCAAAATATCGTGATATCGTATTGTCAAAGTGCTCACAATAATATCGAGGACCATCACGATATATAAAAACTACAAGTCTCTTTGCTTAAATTAAGAGTTATGGCGCAGAAATAGCTATAAAAAAAAAAAAGGACAGAGGGAACTACATAGACCATGATCCTTTGCGCCATTTCAGTGCAGACTACAAGAAGAAATAACAGTTCTAAACACTTTTAAGTCGTAGTTCTTTGGTTTAAATCTTGTCAAGGCATTTTAAGATGAAAAAGTAGCATATTAACAGTTTCGTTAACCTCCACAAAATATCGCAATAAATGTATCGTGAGATGTATATCGTGAAAATATCGTACAGAGAGATTTGGATATTGTTACATTCCTAATCGTGAGCCTCCCCGCCATATCATGAGCTTTCCCAAGATATCGCACTATGAGGTTCATACCGTGACGATATCGCATCATGAGACTTGAATATCGCTACACCTCTACTCTCCACAGATCTGACTTGTAATGTATCGTATCTCCCTTTTGATAGATGGGATTAGGCTGAATCCCATTGCACTCCTTGGCCATACCACTTTCCCCTACCCCTTCGTTTTGCACGTTCTTGTGTAGGGGTGTCCCAGTTACTGTTATGGCAGAGGGGTAGGGGAAAGTAAACGGGTATGAGCACTTTCCCAGAATGTCTTGCGAATCACCGGCAAGATGGCTGTTACCATGACCACAGAGACCAAAGCGGTTCATAAATTGTAGATGGCATGGCCCTTGATCTCTACTACTAAACATTCTAGAGCAGACAAAGCAATAACATCTCCATGAAAACAAGCGGGTGACAGATCCTCTTCTATGTTACGTCTAGGTCTCCCTGTAATTTTCCACGGTAAGGCATTCATCTCCGTGGGCACAAGCAGATGACGCCACCAGGTCAATTTACAAGGCAAAACTGTGGAGAGGCGAGCCTGCTTACAGCAAAAATACATGCATTAAAAACACCCTTTAAAAATGTAACTGAATAAGTGCAAGACAGAAAGGTTTAAAGCCACACTATTGAACATTGCAGGCAAAACAATAACATCGCTATGAAGATAAACAGGTGCACATTTAGTTAGAAACATTTTATTTTACTTTGATGTTAAACAAATGTAGTGTCAAAATGGTACACTGGAATATTATTATATATTTTGCAACCTCTTGTCACGTGCAGCAGCCCTGTGATTAAAGCCAAAGCGTGGTAATTATGTTTACAAATGGGCAGAACTTTCTAGTAGGTGTAATTGCATAGAACATTCCTTATTGTACATTATTAAGGCTTTCCAGTTTAATGCCTTCCAGCTGGAGAAGAGATATTGCTAAACACCTGACACATATCTCGAGCTCATCTCCGGTCACTGCTATTTTTGCAAACTCGATCGACTGATAACATGATTCTAGCTCTTTCTAGATGCTTCTCACGAAATGAAACCTGATTATTATGCAACAAAAACATACTTTATTTAAATAAGTTTTGTGTAAAGTGACGTTTTACCTGCTTCTGAGGCGGCTTTGGACTTGTCTCCGTTGTGCTGGTCCAACGTAAACAAACTGCCCGTCGCCCGCCGCACGTCCCACACCTTCACTTTACTGTCCGCACTTAAAACCGGAAAAGAACAAAGCTGTTATCTTTATGCCAATTAGCGCACATCAACGCTACAAGATAAATTGGCAAAATAAACAAGAGTTAGCATCTTGTCTCGTCGTACTAAATAAGCAACGTGAAAGCTCTGAGATGGGAGATTACTACAGACGACTACTAACTATTCTGTCAATACGTGGTCATGAAAAGAGCAGTTTACTTTTGGGATTACAAGCTGTTCTTTAATAGAATAGTGTTCATTTATAGGTTTACTTCTGCACGCCTTGTTTTGAAATTGAGTCAGAGTCCAGAGGGATGGGAGCGTCTCCGTGGGTTAATTAGCAAGTCTAAACAGAAAGACCAAAACAGATGGGAACTGTACCTAGCATGTGCCTCCAACTAAAGATACTACTGCTACTACAGGCTTGTACCATATACAGTAGATGTGTCAATGACCGTAAAATATGGGTTAACTTGAATTTGCTTTTGCCCTAAAAATACTAACACAATAATGAGAAATTATTTTAGAATACTTGATTGCTATACGTATTAGTGTTGTCATGATACTAACATTTCAAACTCAATTTAGACACTAAGGAATAGACTCGATATTGATTACAATACCAGAATGATTAAAAATCTTTAGAATGTGATTTTCAACATCAAATCATAGTACCGGTACTTTCTTTTATATTTGTGTAAACCCTCAGTGGTCCATGTAGGTTCCATAGTGGTTCATGTGCATGTACTAGTTTAATTTAGGCCTGTCACGATAATTACTATACGACTTATTGTACAATATTCTTTTGGGGTCAATATTTATTAGAGCTGGGTATCATTCAGAAGTTGCCGATACGATACATACCATGATACAATTAGCTTTCGATTCGATACGATTCAATATGATATATTTCAAATCGATTCGATACGGTTCAATAAAAAATAAACTAAAAGTCTTTATTGAACCATTTCTTGTACAAAGTATATGAAACACAAACATTTTAATAATCAAAACTGTGAAAATGTCAAATGTGTCGCATAAATGAGTTTCCTTCCTCTAAACAAGCAACAAAACTGTAGCGCTTTAACAAAATAATTTAGTAAAATATACCAAAAACTACCCTTGGCGATATACCGATACAGCAGCCCATGATATCGATAATGTATCAGCACTTTAAATGATATGATATATAAATATTTCAATATTTTTGCACACCCCTTATCTTTATCATGTGTATATTTTCTTTGCAAAACTGAGAATTATTTGGGAGGTTATTTGTGGCTATATGATAAGATTAACAGTAAAAGGTTGGATTAAAAACTTGTATGACTCATTCCAGATGCAAACTAAGCACTAAAGTTTTTCTATTATCTACTTAGTTCCTGCAGCTTGTGTTTTTGGTAACAATATTTACAATAGTTTTTGTGGTTTAAATCTCCTCTTGGATTATTGTAGTCAGTTGCATAAATTTGTTTCTAGTTTATATGACCTTATACTTGTTCTAATGCAGCTCAGACAATATTATCTAGAACTATTCATGGAAAAATGAACTTTAAATTCGACCATAAATGTAAACCGGGAATATTCACCAGTCTGTTCTGTCCCCTCCTGTCACACGGTTTAAAAATAATAAAAGAGAATAAAAACAAAGTGGTGCACAAGAGCACGTAGCATTCATCTTAGAGAAACAAGCTGTCAGTCGATCTGTCATTAGAGGAACCTGCTGAACTTTTACTCCCAGACTTTTGCAGTACTTCATTTTATTAATTATTTTACAATATTAACAGATGCGGGTGGGATGAGACGTATTTCCCACAAGACTAGACAAAACAGGATTTTTACATCATATATTAAAAAACACCGTGCAGTTCAGTTTTCAATTTTGGACTCTTTTTTTTTTTTTTTTTTTTTTTTTCTATTTATGGTGCCATTGTACAACTGCTGTTTTTACTTTGGCTTCTCAAAACATAACTCTTTTTTGTCCAGGCCAAAATGTAAACAAAAACATCTTGTGAGTTGTTCTGCATGTGTGCACTGTCACTGGCATTTTCCACTTAAATAAAAGATATTACTTAAAGGGCCTGGCATTGTGCAAATTATAATCCTCAAAAACATACCTGGAATTGTGTTTTGTTTCATTCACACATATCTGAGTAATCCTTTATTATTAGTCTGTCTACATCTTCAAAAGCTCAAAATGCTCTGTTCTGTCTCGTGATGTCTTGAAGCGGTAATTTTCAAGTTAAACACTACCTTTTGTCTTTTGGTCAGAAGCGATTAGCAATTCCAGAGCTGAAATCAACCAAATGATTCTAGTGAAGGTGTGTGGAGTTTAGTGGCGCACTCCCTGTATTACCACATGACATCACAAGGTGTAACATTCATTCTAAATGAAAATTTAAAATTTACTGTCACACAAAAATACTTGTGAAGAAGATTAAGATTAGTCGAGTTGCTTTCGTTCATACGTAAAGATCTATCGCTCCACACTAAAATATTCATGAACGCAATGATCTTCTCTCATCTGTATTGTATCACTTCATGGTCCCAGGCCTCCTCAACTACATTAAAACCGCTTTGTTCAACAAACTGACCCTTAAGATTTTTGACAAAAGAAAAACTGGCACACTGTGAAATTACAAAGAACATCAACTTTTTAACTTTGAAAATTTATAAATTTTAACAATCTTAAATTATTTTTTAAGTGTCTTAACCGAATATTACACTCAGAATTTGCATAAAATGTTCACACAGAACGAACACAAGAGGGCTACTAGTGGTATTGTGTTGTTCAGGTAACAGGACGACTTTGGTCAGTCCTCGTTCTCTTTTAAAGGGCCTAGTCTGTGGAACGGTTTAACAGCTCATTTAAAATTGGAAACCAACTACAACAAATTTAAAGGAAATTAAAGTTATTGTATGTTTCCAGTCAAAACTGCATCCACTAAAATCTACTGTATATATTTTATCTGTATGTAATTTATGTGTCTTGTACTTTCTGTTTTTATGCATGTAGTTTATATTTTTATATGGACAGGTGTTGAAAACTAGCACTTGTGCTAAAACACTCAAAGCAATATCTGGCTTGTCTAATGCGATTGTGATGTCCTTAATAAACATAAATTTAAAAAAATGTATGAATGAAACAAATTGCAACTCCAGAGACGACATTCAAACATAGATCAGAATATAGCATAATGTAAACCCTTCAAATTTATATTAAACTTTAAAGTTTAAATTAAAGGCTTCTTACCTAGCACTGGCCAGTATGTACTCGTATCTGGGCGACCACCTCACAGACAAAACTTCAGCTCTGTGCCCTAAAATGAAAAAAACATGTGGTTCTTTTGTTATTTTTTATCACATGCTTCATCTTCCATGAGTACACAGTGGTTATGGTTACTTAACTAACCTTGAAGAACATGTATCTTTGACCCAGATTTCATATCGCACAGCTGGATCTTTGGGTTCTTGGAGCCCACTGAAAAAAACAACAACATGACAAGTGAACACACAGTACAATATTTAGGTCAAATTACTGTCATACGGAAGTAGAAATATGCACTTTGTGAGCTATTAAAGGGCCATTTATTAAAGGTACATCATGTTCTGTATGTTATAATGTTGTTTCCTCATCAAACATATACCTGGAGTTGTGTTTTGTTTCATTCACACATATTTTACACACATATCTTGCATATTTAGGCTTTGTTCTGAACTGAAAACACACTGTTCCAGCTTGTGATGTCATGTGGTAATATAGGAAGTGCTCTTCTGTGTTTTTAAACTCCTTACACCTTCACTAGAATCATTTGGATAGTTTCAGCCTTGAAAGTTGTTAATTATTAACTGTAAGCAATCACTACATGACGTCACAAGGTGGAACAGAGCATTATGAGCTTTGGAGATGTAGACAGACTAATAGGACTAGGGTTACTCAAACATGTGTGAAAACAAAAGACAACTCCAGGTATGTTTTTGTGGAGGTAACAACATAATCCATTTTGTGTAATATAGCACCTTTAAGAATGCCCCAGGATTAAATTCAATGTTAGATGATATGACTTGGCACCATAAACAAACAACAGTGAACCTCTTATCTTCATTCACAAATTCAGACCGGCGCCAGTTACATCACAGATTAATATCAGATTTATTTTGGTTGGAAGATTATTTAAATGAAATATAAATAGCCAAATCGTCATCTTTTTTTTTTTTTTTTTTTTTTTTTTTTTTTTAAGATCATGGTCTCTCATGATTTTACAGTGTATAGTTTTCATGTCATTTATTTAATCTTAAAGGTCCAGAAATCAGATTAGGATCAGATTTGTGTGTGTGCAGGTGAATAAGGCCACAAGAACTATTCCTGTATTACATGACCAGCTGAATAAAATCAAACTTTATGAATGAACAAGTTAAATAAAGTTGACAGAAACAGTGCGTTTTACATGAGATTCAATTGAAATGACTGGTCCTTGCTTCTAAAATTCTAACAATTTTCTAAGCAATTCTAAGTATTATTTTCTTAGTTTTTCTCAGTTGTACAATTTAACTATTATTCTAGACATTCCTACAATAAGTATATATATATAAGACAGAGAAAGAGCATTAAATTAAGATAACAAAACCTTCAAACAAACATTAATCCCACAAAATTATCATCTAGGATTTCAACAATAAATATCTTTTAATGTATCTATTTCCTACTCAAAACTAAAAACCAAAATGTAAAAGTGTTTTCCAAATAGACCAAAGTTTCTGATAACCGTTGTTTATTCTAAGGATCCTGCTTATCACGTCTTTAGTGTTTTATGATGCCAAAGAGAGAGAAAGAGGAAGAGGGAGAGGCTTCGAAAACGTGAAGCAGAACTAACCCTCCACACTTCTTACAGATAAGGTGTGGCTGAGTGACTTGATTTCAATTTCTATTAAAAATAAATAAATAAAATGTGTAAAAATCCAGAAAAAAGCCAGTTAAAACACAAAGATGACATTTCTAAGCTAGTACTGCTTTTTAGGAACCATTTCCCTTCAAAGCTGGTTTCGAAAAATCATTTAAAACACGGTAGGGATGCTTGTAACCAGTCGGACGAGCCGCTCTCAGGGAAGGGCCGAGTGAAAAGGCGATGACATTGTTACAGAATGTCTCTTCATAAAAGGTGTGTCGGTGAGTCCATGTGTTCTGAACAGTGAGGCAAGATCCAGCAACCTGTCCGTCCAGCTCTGCCACTCTGAGACAGATTCATTCCTTTCCTGCCCATTTCTTCTCATTAGTTTAGTTTTCTTGGATCGCTTTAACCTTTGCCCTAAATCATAATTGTGTAATATGTATGTGTAATCTGTTCTGCTTTTATCATCTACATTCATGTATTTTTCCACTTAAATGCACACTGTGTAACTTTTCTGTTGTCTGTGATGTTATTTCTTAGCCTGGGATGTTCCACTGTATGGCATTAAACAAATATTGTATTGTGTATTGAGATTTGGGGCAATACATATAAGACTAATACAAATCTAAACTTTATCTTAAAAAAAAAAGGTAATAAGAGCAATCACATTATCATCTTACAATGAACCAACCAATGCTTTATTTATAAACCTTCAAACTCTTAAATTTGACGATTTTGTCTAACTTTCCACTTTGAAAATCATGTTCTAAGTAAACAACAATCTCTTGTCAAAATCATTACAGAAGACCATGACAAAGACCATCTTGCTGGTCAAACGTGTTGGTGTCCCTTCATACAATAAAGGACTTTTAATATTTTCAGTCGGAGTGCCTCGGGTTTGTACCTTCTCCACTTTTACATTTTCCAGTAAGGGTGAATTTCTGTTTAAAGACAACTGTTTTAAAGGTTGTATGGAGGATTTTTTTTTTTGTTTCTTTCAAATTGTCAATGAAAGTTCAAAATAGAATTACAGAGATACAGCAGCCTTGTAATTATGATCACCAAAAATAAAAGAATGAAAATCCATCAGCTGTTGACGTGGTGGGGGCAGATAAACATCACCCAATAGATAACAAGGCTACCTCTTTATCTATTGGCTGTTGGGTTGTCAGTCAAACTCCCTACGTTTCTAGCGTCACTGACTCGCCGGCGCGCTGGGATTACGTGGTTTACGTTCGCCTCTCACGCTGTTTACTCAACTAACACAGCGGTTCTTAGCGTCTTTTTCAAACTGTAGCTTCCTCTCAGTTTACTGCAATGGCAGACAAGAAATCACACCCAGTTCGCCGCAAAAGAAAGTCTGTTTTTGATGTCGCTGAAAGAAGAAGAGAAGGGGAAGAGGAGCGAAGCGCGACATTTGAAAAAGAACGCTGCATTTCTCTTTCCATGGAAAATCTTCTATACAACCTTTAACCCTTGTAGAGCACCTGTACTGCTATTTTTTACTCTTTTATGACCCAGTGAGGCACCTCTTTTTCTTCATCTGTCATTGTAGAATATGTTCAAAATCTGAAATAGCCAATATGAGCTCAGAAGAATGACCATGTTTATCAAAAAGAAAATCAGAACAAATATTATGAAATTTTATCTGTTAAAGGGGTGGATCTCTGGAACAAGTGTACAAAAAACCTAAAATTGTGCACCACTTTCTTCCAGTTTATAAAGAAGTTTAAATGTTTAACTCTGGACAGATACATAAAATATGATACTTAGGTTGTATTATAGTATTTTGCTGTACTGTTACTGATTTGTTTGTTTCCTCTTGCTGTATTTATGAACGTGAACTGGTGTCAAGACGATGCTCTGACAAAGGAATAAAGGGTAAAGGCATAATAAGCTCAAACTTCAGCCTACACCTTTTCGGTCTGTGTATGTTAAATATGTCTGTGAAATAATGTCAGAATATACCTGTGACCAAAATCAATCAATCAATCAATCTTTCCTATGTATTTATTCAATTATAGATGTTTTTATTTCTCAAAAACTACTGCAAAACACGTATTATTACTGCAAGTGGATCTACTTCTCCACAGATTTGACATGTAACTTGGCCTAGTGATGTGGATTGTTTGTCTCCATGGAGATAGTCAAATTAAATGCCATACTGTAGAACATTTCAGAAAAAAAAGTGAAGGAGGTGGTGGACCCTCTACCAGAAAAGTTACACAGTGTACCTTTAACACATGTCCTTTTGTTATAAGGTTACATATTGACCCTTCCATTGTGTCAGGAGGAAGTAGCGCAGTACCCCTCCAATCTTGATAGGCTTGGTTAAGACTATTTTAGGACTAGGATAAGCCTGTTGTTAGGGCTGGACGATAAGGCAAAAATGAAAGAAAACAATGGAACAATAACTAAACAAATATAAGTATTGATTTCTATTGATTTCCTGAACACAATCGAGACATACCAGACACCAGTGACCTTTAACACAATGACAAGTTTAAGTTACACTACAGACTCCAAACTGCTCCAAAACGGATGCTTTTACAGGGGACTTAAACACATGTAACTAACGATTAGATATGACTGTGTCTAAGTCTCAGTTGAAATTTCCCAGCCCGACCTATTGGGCATGTTCCAGGCACCCAAAGGAAGCAAACTCCAGCATGGGGAGAACGCAAAATATTCTGGGGCTTCAGTTTCAGGTTTTAAGGACGCAATTTGAGTATGTTTCACAATTCAAAAGATGTAATATTTTGTTTTAAATTGTTCCCAAAGAGCTAAAGTCATTTTAATTTTATGATGATTATTTATGTTTAGACTTTTTTTTTTATTGTGATTTAAATTATTTTATTATTCTGTAAAGCACTTTGAATTACTTTGTGTATGAATTGTGCTATACAAATAAACTTGCCTTGGCTAATGTCAAAAACTTAAAGATACACAGTAAGGTCCCACGCTGCCCAAGTGTCTAAATCAAAACTGCACATAGGCTTAGGGAATGTGCAATTAAAACTGCACACAGGTTCAGGGAATGTGCAATCAAAACTGCAGATAGGCTTGGGAATGTGCAATTATTAATAGAATACAAGAACGCAAAGGGCTTGTCTGTTAATAATTTAAAGGTCCTGTCGGTGCATCACTCGTGGTCATACTTGGTCTCATATTTATTTTGTTCTATGGTGTTTGTTTATGTGGTGCTTTGTGTGGTGTTGTCCTGTTTTTTGATAAAGCATGTTACCCCCTGTCCCAAGACAAATTTCTCCCATGGGAGACAATAAAGGATTATCTTATCTTATCTTAACCCAAACCTTGTGTCTGTGAAGTGACTATGTGCTATAGCCGCTTGACCACATTACAATTGTTATTCTTAGTTAATTTTTTTGTTTATTTATTGTGATTGCTTCCAAACAACGTATTCTTCCAACCTGTACTTCACTGTAATGTATTTTCAAAGATTGTGTAACAAATACCGTATTTTCTGGGCTATTTGGCGCTCTGGATTATAAATTGCACTGTCATTAAATGGTCTATTTTCAAACTTTTTTCACAAATAAACCGCACCGTACTTTAAACGAAACACAACAGTTGGACGGGTCAGTGGGACTTTGTTTGGCGCGTTCACGGTGACTCTGGGCTTTGTTCAGTTGTGGCGTGTAGGGAGGGCGCTGTGTTCGATCGCTGGATTGTCGGCGTGTTCGCAGTGACTCAGTTGTTCAGTCGTGTCTAGAAGTGGCACATTGCACTCGCTTTTTCGGTTCGTTCCTCCGTTCCGTTCCTCGTCCACGTGGAGTGATGAGTGTGGCTGCGGGTGTTTTTCGCTGTGCGGTCGCTGTCTGCTCCGTGTGTGTTTGCGTGTTCTGCGGGTGATGCGGCTTTGTAGTTTACTGAAGTCGTGCTGGGACATTCGAGTGGATTCGTGTATAGGGCGCTCTGGATTGCGGGGCGCGCGGCCGTTTTTTGATGGGGTTGGAGGCTTAAGATCGCGTCTAATAGCCCGGAAAATACAGCAAATTTCTCCACTTTGAAATCAATAAAGTTTGATCTTCCCCCGCTTTCTAAAATTTGATACCCCCAGGTCACACGTCACCTCTAACCTAAAACATAAGGAATGTAAGGTTAGCACGTAGCATTTAGCTCGGGGCAACAAACTGATTAAACTAACTTGAATTCTTGACACAGTTGCCTTTATGTGTGTCTACAGGGGCACTTATGATGGTGAAGATAAGAAAAGCATCAGAGTAATGCAGACCTGCGATGAGGCTGTGCTTTCGTGCAATGGGAGACAGGTGGTGGCTGTACACGTTTGTCTCAAACTCGAAGACTTCGGCAGGCTAAAACACAAATGGAAAAAGTGAATCAGAATTGAGATTAAGAATTTTTTCACACTGTGTTCATTTCATTTGTCAACAGGAAGTCCTCTAGACATATTTTCAAAGATTAAGCGTTGTTGATTTAATATCTTAACCACTCCTCTTTGCAGGTAAGTTATATTTGTGAACTCAATGTAACAATCTGGTTTTACAAACAACAAAGCATGCGGCAGTAGTATCAAATGCGTTAACACCTTTCTTGATTATTATCATTATTACGGATGGTTAGGCCTTTCACGATAACACATTTTGAAGTTAGACATATTGCTGAAAAAAAAAAAGACATAATATTGAAAAAAAAATCTCATCACAGAACAAAAAAATAGCAAAACGTTGTCCACGAGTGAAACAATATGTTTTCTACCACATGACAGGTCGATGGATGGTCAATATAACAACGTTGGCAATATCAGAAGCTTTCCCTAGACATTGATATAGACCGATTATTAGACAGTGTTACTCTTTTTTGGCACCACTGTTTATTCTGCACTGTCCCAGCCTGTGTGTGACCATGTGTTATTGCCAGTTTGTCCTCAGATGAGTCTTTTTAAACAGACTAATGAGACTAGACTAATGAATTACAATGGAAATAGAAATCTGAAGAGGAACATATAAAATATAGCTGTATGTTTGTTTACACATGCACAAATACTGAATATTGGTATCGGTTGAAGAAACAAAAATCTATATTGCACACTCTCTAATGTTAAGGATTTTTGTCCCTTCAAACTAGAGATTTGCATATTTTTACTACTTTTACTTGCACATGACAACAAGCATCAAGAGAAGGTGGAAAAGAACCAAGCTCTGAATCCCAGTCTCTCTCAACCACAATGATGGCTGTAATTCTGGAAGCATAAAAAGGCCCAGTGTCCCCTCTGCTCTGCGCTCTGTCAGTGAGTGCCAGCCAATGCCCTCAACACTGGAGCCTCTGTTTTATATCAACGATAAACACAAGCAGTAAGACATAAATCAAATACTGTACATACAACCATTTGCCTACAATAGAGATGCCATGATTAGTCAGTGTTTCAGTCAATTGTAATTAGAAGCAGAAGGATAAGTGTAGTATTTTAGAATCAACATTGGTCACTTTATGACACCAGTTACTGCCACTTTAACCATCAGTGAAAGTAATTAACCTAGTTTTTGTTCTGTTATTCTGCCCTACTGTATATTTTGTATTGTATATTAAAGTATATTTTTGACTTATTTTAATACATGCTCTTATTTTTTATTCTTCGTAGAAGTAGTCATAGTTCGTATTCTTTGTGTAATGTTGTGCCATACCACCCAAGCAAGTTTTTAGTTTGTGAATTTTGTTCAGTGATGAGCTGATGTGGAAATTTAACACATGGCCCCAAAGTAATACATTTTGCTAATTCATGTATTATTCATATTTAATCACTATAACTAATACTAAAAGTCCTTAAAGTATTTTTGAGCAACTGTGTCATTTCCCTGATTCATGGACTGTGTGACATGACTGAGGAAAAAAGAATAAAAGTTTTAAGTTTCAAAAGTGATAAAACACAAATGTTAATAAAGGTTTATTAAGTATTTTATTAATTATGAATCATCTTATTGTTTTATTGTTACTCGCTGTATTCTAGTATTTCTATAGTTCATTTTCACAAAGGACATGACACATTGGGAGATCCTTACAGACAATACATGGTAAACGTGCTTGAGAATTCAAACACTGACTAATGCTAATGAGAGGCGAGCGGGTTCTCCTCTGTCCTTTGAATGACCTCTTGAGGTAACAGTGGTGCCAGTGTAACTCTAGCATCACAGGCCTGCCATCTGGGACCAAGTGGCATAAAGCAACGAGGGGAGAGTGGGAGGGCACAAAAGGAGTCAAATTTGTGACGCATTGGTCAACGTTTTTACAGTGGAGTGCATTGTTAAAGTGAGTGAGTGTTAACATGAGTGAGGGAGTGGTCAAAATAAACAAGAGGGAGGTGTACCTTAAGTGTCTCTGTATCCCAGATCTTCATGGTTTTGTCGAATGAGCTGGAGACAAACATCCCTGTGTCGTACGGATACCACTGCACAGTCTCCACGCTGAACTTGTGCACATGGGGATTTGACCTGGATTTTCACAAAAATGATCACTGTGTTTCTATATTGTATCTAGTGTCTAAAATTCTAATTAAAATAATGAACAAGACAAAGTTCCGTATTACTATGCTAACAACACAATTTTTTTATGTTTACTTTTTTCCTTCCTAATAAAACCACATCCAAGGCAGATAGATTAGATAGTTCATTATCATCATATCTTAATCAAACCAACCAAGTAGTTAGGCATGTAAAAACTACCTCTGAAAATTCAACAACAATTTATTTTGAATTGACAATAGTAGTAGCGTAGCGATTACCTCAATAAAACTGTTTGGCTGCCCCCTAATGGTCACAGTCTTTCATATCAGCTGTGGGAGAGAGGTATGTTGAATGTTTACCTTCCCACTGTACAGACAGCTTTGCAGGTGTACTGTGTTTTTCCAGTGAAGTTTTCTAGGTCGTAGACGACAATCACACCATCAGCACCTCCGGACAACATGCTGCAAACATACCATGTGTCAGAATTTCCATATATTTTTAAATATGTTATATTTTAATTCATATTTTAATCCATATAATAATATTGTAATAAGTATTCATAAGCAATAAAATTTGTACAGTTTAATACATCAATTTTGAAAACATTTTATTGAATACATTTTAATTTTAAAGTTTATTACATTTGCTATACAGTTAATTCAATATCTTTCTAATTTTATTCACAAACATGTAATGTATTGCTTAACAGTTTCAGAGAATTCAGAGAATATTCAATTACTACTAATGCGATAATTACAAAAATTAAACTGTGGTTGCTTCAGAGGCTGAAAACAAATAAATTAGCAGGAATAAGATATCATCAACAAATTAAACTAAATCAACTGGACTTACTTATCTGATCTACCAACCAGGTAGCTTCATCTGTAAGTCCAGTCAGTTTATTTAGTTGATAAATTAGTCCCAAACAAAAATACTTACTATCGGCCTTCTACCACATCAATGTCAATGGTATTGACGCCATTTCCATGAATTCTGTCTACATCTCTGTCAGGATTCAACTGCAGACTCAGAACCCTGTCAGAATAAGAAAATATATTATTATTGTATAGTAATGATAGGCAAGTTTATTTGTATAGCACAATTCGTACACAAAGTAATTCAAAGTGCTTTACAGAATAAGAAATACATGAAATCACAGTACAAACAAATCAAAACATAAATAATCATCATAAAATTAAAAAGAGAGAGACATTAAATGAGAGAGAAGAGTGTGGAATGAAAATGATATTAATATAATAATAGATGTGAGAAATTCATCCAAAATATACTTCAATTGTTTTGCCATAGAACAATGAGTACAAAGCTGACTATGACTATGATTATAATGTCACCAATGAGTGTATAAAGTGTATTAAAGTATATTTCTGCCCTTTTGTGGTTAATTGTATAGTCCTTTCACGTTTTATGCTCGACTTATGTGAGGACCAGCCTGAGAAGTCGATGTGTCTCCATCAGAGGTGTTAATTTGTGGAATAGTCTCGATGAAACTTTAAAAGGTTCTAAAACAATTTACACATTAAAACTGAAAAAAAAGACCAAAATTATAGACAAATATAGAGAAATACAATAAATCATATTTTACTCCATGAAACCTACAGAATAACTGTAACCCCCAAATATATTTATATATTTAATTGTGTTTATAAACCAATAGGTATAATTATTAACATGTACATGGTCAGTATGTGTGTGCGCGTGTCTGTGTGTGTATGAACATCGACGTATATTGGATTGTGTTCTGTATTGTGTATGTGTATACTAAAAGATTTAGGGACATTTTCTTTCCTGCTCTCATAAATGATGAGTTTTGTGTTGTTTTCTGTAAATAGTTCTGCTGTCTTGTATCCTGTTCTATATGTTAATAAGGTTAGGCAAAACAAGTGCTAAACTTCAGCCTAAACCCCTTCAGTCGATAGAATAACCTTAGTGATATGCATCATTTTTTATCTTCAATCATTGTAACATGACATGTGATTATGTTAATTGACCAAAGAAAATAAACTAACTCACTGACTTGAACCTCAACCAAGGCAGTCACATTTTTAGTTCATTCCTGATGCATTCTTCAATACAATTGTTATCAGAATAATGCAAAACGCAAGCCTTGTTAATATTTTCTAAGGGATTTGTGACCATAGAGTAATGTTGTCTGTGTTTTAATATGAGATGTGAGCAGTGTTGGGGAGTAACAGATTACATGTATCGGAGTTACGTAATCAGAGTACAAATTATGAGTAACTGTATTCAGTTACAGTTACTGTTTCAGTGAGTGGTAATTTAATTACAGTTACTTTGTTGAAATAAATAGATTACACAGCGATATTTTCCTGTTTTCACATTTGGGGCTATAACCCCCTTTTTTTTTCTCAGTAATTCCACTCGTTGCCGGACACTAAACCAGGTCTAAACCAGGACTAAAACCAGGTCTAAAACCAGGTCTAAAACCAGGTCTAAAACCAGGTCTAAAACTAGGTCTAAACTAGAACTAAAACAGGATTTCACAGAACTAAGCCATGCTGCATGGGCTGTGTTTCCTCTTCTTCTATCAATAATATTTTTTAACATGGTTAAGTAAAGACTGAGCTTTTTATTGTCTTTTATCAGATAAAACATCTTATGTGAAGATATCCTCGTCTTTGCTTCTCTACAGAAAATCAAGTAATCCAAAGTATTCAGATTACATTACTCACTTTAAGTAATTTAATGGATTCCGTTACAAACTACATTTTAGGGTATGTAATCTGTAATCTGTAGGGGAATACATGGATGTATGTTACACTAGTGAATAAATAGTTTACTTGCATTGCCTTGGCTCACCTTCTAGTTGATTCTGCTCGTCTCAGTCTCAGAGGATCATCCAGCCCAGCCTGCCGTGATGATAGAAACCCCAGCATTGTTGCTTTTTAATAACAGTAGTCCTTTTGTAGTTCATTTATTTAGCTACTTTAAGTTAAAATGAGCTAGCATCGACCATAACTCGTCCATTTTGTTGACAATAAAATATTTAATCAAAGACACAAAGCGCATACACGTGTAATATGGCAAGACATAATACGTTCGATTACTTATTTAAATAATTTCTACGATATTTCAGCAATTTTAGTCATAATTTTGGTCTGAACTACTAGCATGAACTTCCAAACAACACAAAAGACGCCATGTTAAAACGTCACTTCCGTATTATCAAACCTGCGCTCATTCTCATTGGCTGTCAGGGCGGGCTCGACCAATCAGAGAACAGCTTATTGCTTCCCATTCCCCGGCGTGGGCACTTGCATAAACAAGAAGACCTCTGACAGAAATACACGAAAATCACCTTCAAAAACGAATCACTTTTTTATGTAAATATGAACAGATTAGCAGGCGCATTACGGAGAACATTTGGAGTCGTCCGTGAGCACGTTGGGACGGATCATTTGGGAAATAAATACTATCTTATTCCAGAGCAGAAGACATGGACAGGTAAATAAACCATTTTCTTTGCGATTTTTAAGTTGTTTACCACCTATACTTTGCTGTTGTGTATTTTTGTAATTATTTCAATGCTGTCGCTTGCATTTGCGTTCCTGATCGCGTTACTAGTGACTTTAACCCTCAACTTATCAACCTGTAATCTGCAAATGTGTCCACTAGATGTCGCTGTTGCAATGTTTATTACTAGTATGAGCGATGTGCTGCACTAAAGATAGTATTGGTTTGCAAAAGGAGTGAAATATAGGGCAGATTTTATGCACATGGCTCTGACTTCAAAGAGGGATGTGCTAACTGCTGGAGATGTACCGATTAGTTTGTCTGTGGTGAGGATTTAGAAGGAGGTCATCTATCCCTGCAGAGACATGGCAGAGCTGCTGTGTGCGAGACTCCAGCCAAGCAGAGGGAGGAGGATGTGTCGAATGTGTGGTAGGTGTCCTCTGTCTCTCTCTCTCTCATCTCTGAAGTCCAAGGGCACGTTCACACGCGTGGCTTTTCGGACTTAAGTGGAATTACCTTCATAGATTGAAATGTGACAACTGACAAGGTGTTGCCCTTTGGTGAGGTTGTGGCATAGGAGCGGTGATGTATTTCTCTGTTATTGCACCTGTCCTGCACCTTTTAGTCTTCTACTTGACCATTTAAAACACTGATAGATAGGGATGGAACAATAACCGAAATATCGTGATACTGTGTCGTCAAAGTTCTCACAATAATATCGTGGACCTTCACAATATATCGAATTTAAGTCTCTTTGCTTAAATTAAGAGTTATGGTGCAGCAATAGTTAAAAAAGACAGAGAACTACATAGACCATGATCCTTTGCTCCATTTCTAGACTACATGAAGAAATAACAGTTCTAAGCACTTTTAAGTCTTAGTTCTTTGGATTAAGTCTTGTCAAGGCATTTTAAGAGGAAAAAGTAGCATGTTAACAGTTCTGCTTCCACAAAATATCAAAATAAATATCGTACTGTAGGATGTATATCGTGAAAATATCGTACAGAGAGATTTGGATATCGTTACATCCCTAATCGTGAGCCTCCCGACCATATCGTGAGCTTTCCCACGATATCGCAATAAATATCGTACCATGAAGCTCATACTGTGACAATATCGTATCATGAGACTTGGATATCGTTACACCCCTGATAGATTTTAACTGTATATATTTACTTACAGGGGCTCAAATTGTGAACTGGGACTTTGTATGACTATTAAGTAGCGTTGTCACAGATTACAATTTTCATGATTTGCTTGCTAAATAAAAGGCGTTAGTCTGTACTGATTATGGTACTACACTGATCATATTATTAATGCTCTTTTAGACATTAGGATGCAACTTTCAACACCAAGTAATAGTTGTTTCTTCTTTACCTTATGGTGTTATACTCATTCGGATCAGAACTATTCTTAAACTTTTCAGGATTTTTTTTTTTTCCACAATTGATAATTATTCAAATAAGTATCTAATTTCCCTACACACATTTTATTATAAATTTGAGCTGTTATACATTAAATTGTTTAAGTCATATAGTCCAGCTGGCTGAACCCAGTTTGGTCCCGTGTATGCATTTGCTCCTCTATTATTTGTTGAAGCTAGGGATGTATTAATAACCAAAATATCATGATATTGTATCGTCAAAAGTCAGACAATAATACCGTGGGCCATCACAATATATCAAATTACAAGTTTTTTTGCTTAAATTTATGTTTAGGGTGCAAAAAACGGAGAGAACTACATATACCATGATCCTTTGCTCAGTTTCAGTTCAATCTACATGATAATATAACTGTTATTAAGCACTTTTAAGTCTTAATTATTTGGATTGTGACAGAAAAGTTGCATATTCACAATTTAGTTAGTTTCCACAAAATATCAAAATAAATATCGTACTGTGAGATGCATATTGTGAAAATACCGTAAAGTTTAAGATATCATTACAACCCAAATTGAAGCTGTACTTGGTAAGCCAAATCTCGTGTGTCCATTGTCAGTGCTGTCAGAGAAGACTGAGCGTTAAGTGAACAGCTTAGTCTTTTCTTTGTGTCATCATTTTTAATTTGGAACACTGCAAACCGTTTAAAATGAACCAGCTCCTGTTTTTCACATTTTTAAGACTGTAAAAAGGGTAGAGCGCCTTTAAAACCCACCACCAGAAAATGTCATTTGTTTTCCCCACAAACACCAGGCCTCTCCCTCTCCTCGTGAGCGGCCAGACCTGAGGCACAAGGCTGCAAATCCTGTTTTTTCCACTCCGCTTGACTTTGAGCTTCACCTTTCCTCAGCCATTTGCACCCACCTCATATTTATAATTTATTACAAGACTGCTGCTGCTGCTGCTGCACCAACCCTGACTGTCAGACTATTCAAATCAAACACAACACATACACAACACAGTTTACCATGGTCCTCTTATAATAAAATAGGTAAGTGGTATAGAGGTGAAGTATAGGTCTAACTGAGCTCAAGATCATGAACTTTTGTTTACTGAGGAGGCCTGTCACGATAGCAAATTGTGAAGTGTGATATATTGTTGAACTAGCAGAATTATGCTCAAAAATGTATTCAAAATGTACAAATCTAAAAAAATGAGCTGGACAACATCACTTAGGAGTTGTTTATTCAACCGTCTAAAGCTCAGATCTTACCATAGTACAGAAAAATAATCAAAATTGATTGTTCTATCTGTCATGTATTGAACAATACTTCAAAATAGTAATTATCACGACAGGCCTAGTGCTGGCGTGAAAAGCAGGATAATAACACGGTAAAACTCATAGATTGTAGGCATTCACAGGACTATTTCCGCTAAAGATCAGAAAATGGAAGCACTGATCATCTTTGGTTCATGTCTCAAAATGGTTACAAAGAAATGCATTAATCTAAAGAGGCTCTAAAGAGACTAGCAGATTTTATATATATAACTTCTGTGTTTTCTAATCCACATTTCCCACATTTTTTTTTTGTGATCAAATTTTTATTCAAGTGTTATTATTTGCAGTTATACATATTCCAGTTAGCATGGCATTTTCCTGCCTTTTAAACCCCCCACCCTTAAACTCCCTATTGATGGGCATCAACAGAAAACATATGTACACACACATATACATATATAATACATATATACAGCATCTACATAAACACACATACCCATATACACATATTATAGTATATATGTTATATATACATTCACATGTATATACACATTCACACACACCCACACACAAAAAATAAATAAATAAATAAATAACACATATCCAGGTTTATATTCCTTCTATACAAAACACAGGCAAATTTCACATCAGCAGAAATTGCGTTATACATACTTGTTATGCACCATACATAGAAAGTTAACTGGAAGTATACATATTGTGTGCATTCTAAGGACATATTCTCCTAAGGATTCAAGTATTCATTCATAAGTATTCATTCGAAGGACAAGGATATATTATCATGAAAAATCTCCAGGTAACAACTATACAATAGATTCAGATCTCAGTTTGATCAACAGATTGGACCAGCAAGAAATGTTTTTGTTTTTTTTGCTCCGTGCATTCGAGCAGCACACATTTATGACATATTTTTTACTTGCATAACCATTTGAAATAGAGCTATATAACTATCATATATATTTTATTCCATTAGTAACAAACAAATAGCTTTTAATATTATGTTCTTGAACACAAACAATACAGTTAATTCAGTAAAGTTTAGTCATTGTATTTAACACAAAAAAATCATTTAATTTTATTCTTTCAAAGTCTGATCTCTGCTCCAGACCATATACTTTTAATGGCAGAACATGAGCTATATACTGTCAGTTAAAAAGCCCCAAGCATATATTGTCAATTTGAAATGATTGGACCTCGATTAAGGTTTTATTAAACGCACCGTCGTATACTCTGAAGTTCAAACATCAATTACATAAATAAATCCTCATTCATAAAATGTGCAGGATGTCCAGACCATTAAGACACCTACATAAAACAAAGTAGCTTTCCCCTTTTATCCTGTATTCACTGTAGCGGAATAAATCGTATGCATTATTCACTCCATATGTCTTGGTAAAGTGAACTCTTTTTGATGTTAAACTGATAGGCCAAGTGTGGGCTGGGTGGCCTGGAGGCATGAGCTCCAGGGCTTTCTACAACATTACAAGCTCACTACTACTAGCTCGGACTACTACTCTTCTCTTTTAGTATGTCTTCCATTCATTTGTCCATCCTCTCTGCTGGCTGGCTAGGTCCATCCTGCACCTTTAGCCATGCTTTAGTGCTCCCATTTTCTGCCTCTCCCTTTGCGTTAACTTCAGAAAACTGGGGCATAAGCAATTCTCTGTGCGCTTGGTTAATACTGAGATGTTAATGGGTTGCGATCTACAATTTGACGATGTCATAATTTCAGATGGAGGGCAGGGCCTATTTAACTGTATGTGAGATCAGGGCTGTAAGATTTATTGCAGTCAAATGGAAACTGTAAACTGAATGGATGCAATTGGCATATCATAAAGGCTGCAATTGTTGAAGTACCATAATTCCCTCCACAAACAACAACATTTCAATCATTTGGCGAGTTTTTGTGGATGTGTTTAAAAATAAAAATGTTATCATTTGAAATTTGTAATCACAATTAATATCAGAAAAATTGCTATTAGATATTTTTCCAAAACTATACAATCCGATGGAAGACTAGCCTGAGAATTCGTTCGCTCGATGGTAGGCGAGTACTTTTTTAATTTTTTAATTTAACCAATCACTGCCATTTGGTCATGACGTATGTAATGCGCCTCTAATGGGGCTAACTGGTATATTAAGCTTTTCCCAAATCCCGTAGGAAGAAGGGCAATAACATCTTTCCCCTTCATAAAATTCACCAAACTTTCTCTTTGTTCCGGCTTTAAATCCTTGATCTTGGGAATCATTGCCAACACAGAATGTATGACTCTTCAATGATTGGCTGGTGCCCGAACTTGCACATTTTGGGGGTT